AAATAAAGCGTAAAATACAAATATTATGTATAAATATTTCTTACACGTGCAAAAGTGAATTCATATGTAAAATTAGCGAATTTTTTGTTCATTTTAACTCAATTCAATAGCTGCCACTAAAGGCCATTATTAATAAAAAGGCTTCCCTATTTTTTTGATTATTTCAATAGAATAGAGTTAATTTGCGAGCTCAAGCACCTGGAAGGACAGTTTGATTTCCACTCAGTGATAAAGTCGCTAAAGGTCTTATAATTGAACAAGACATTCAAGACTCTTTGAAAGCAATTTTAAGCACTTTAAATTCAACGATTTAAAATAAACTCAACAGCTCTCCAAGGTGCCACAATCATGTGGTGATTATTGTTCAAAAATTAAATAGAATACAACAAAAACTTTTCAATTTGTAACTAAATAAAACCAAATAAAACATAGAATTTAAATATCTAAAAAATATTAACACTATGATGTTAAAGGAATGAATAAAATCTTGACATTTTCTTTTCTGTAGAGACCAAAGAACCAGCGAATATGCCACTATCAAATCAAATAGTGTTACACAGTGGAGGCATGCTGAACATAAAATAGTTCTGGCCGAGTTTCGTTGCACACACAATGAGGCAAATTAAACATTTTCCTGGTAAGAATACGACAGCATGTATTCGGAACAGAAAAATGTTATTGCTTTAGTAAAGTAGGGAATTCATAACATGATTTATTAATTTATAGACGAACATTATTATACATTCCTGCACGAAGAAAGTGATAACAGTCCAAAATGTGGCAAACGATCTGTGTATAACTTCAACAATCGACATATACGATTATTATGATTCCATACATTGTTACAGTATTATAATTTAATACGCACGAGAGACTTATACAATAGTATAATACAATAGTACATTTTAAACGGAGGTAGAGCCACGCAGCGGCCTCGGCATTTGCACGAATGGGCAGGCTCGTCCGGGTAAGTACCACGACCTCACAGAAGACCGGCGTAAAGTGGAAGTATGACAAATATTTTCGCATTTCGTCTGGTGAGTGAGGAAGCCGGAGCCCAATTTCCAAAGAGGTTGGCAACGCATCTGGGAACCCTTTGGGTGTAGCAGTTGTCTATGGGCGGCGGTATTCACCGTCTGCTAGTTTGGCAACTTTTCACATTAAAAAAAATGGTTCGCAATGATTTTTTTCATTTCACTGTGAATAAGTCCGAAGAATAAAAAAACTCGAATAAACCCATAAAGAATACGCGTGAAGATTTATTTAAATGTTTTCTTTATGGCCACAAAAACTTCAAATCAGTTCTCGATAATCACTCATAGATCATTAATGTGAAACAATTGTCAAAATTAAGTTATCCACACAAAAAATTTCATTATCGATACCAGACTGTAGTAACCTAACATCTTCAATGTCATTAATCATGCGATATTTTTTATAAATCATCAGCATACATTTTAAAATTAAATTTAATACATTGTCTGAAGTACTTAGTAAAAATTAAAAATAATAAAGTGCCAATATCGGTCCTTAGGGAATCCTGAAGAAACATTGCACTAAAAAGATTTAAAACCTTGCCTTGAAACTAACTAACTAACAACTAACTACAAAAGTTACTACTGTAGAACTGCCACCATCTTAAAAGTGATCCGTGGGTACCCATGTGTTTAAGATTTAGTGGAAGCATATTATGGTTAAGATAGTCTAGACACTAAGCCTGGTTCAGGTAATCTGCTCACGTCTACAGAGTTTGAAAACTTAATACTTCTTTCTATCAAAGTGTATTTAATACCTGCAGCTTAATTTTGCCATCGTAAGACGCATCGAACTGCCAAATACCATAGCTACCTAACTCGATGGTTGGCAGTCGAGCACTGTGAGTTTTTCTGCTACGCACAACCAAGTTGTGGAATCATCCGTCGTTGCCAGCGGTATTTGCGAACCTATACAACTTAGAGAACTTCAAGAAGATAGCCTAGTCAATCCCCAAAGGTTGGCAACCCATTTGTAACTCCTCTGGTGTTGTGAGTGTCCGTTGGCGGTGGTGAACACTTACCAGCAGGTGGCCCGCCTGCTCATTTGGCATTTAAAAAAGAAAAGATCATTGGAACAAAGACTTTGTCTGTTTGCGTAAGTTGAATGAAAGTATTCACAAAATAAATTAGATACGACTTGACCACCTTCAGATGTTCTGCTATCAAGATACATTTCACTCGGAATAGAGACGATGTTACTTATACTTTACTTAATATATTTCCTCAAAAAACTTACGCAAATGTCTCCAGTTTTTTTGTGGAAGGTATTTTTTTGAGCAGTTATAAGGAGTTTAGCAGGGTAGAGCCACTGCTCCATCTCCCTTTAGTAAGGCAGCACGTCAGCTCTCTTGAGTCTTCTTTTGGAAGCTATTAAAACAATGTTTTATCATGCCGTCACATCGGCCCGGAGGAAGAATAAAGGTTTGGCAATTAATGCAGAACTATACCTCAAAAGAAATCTATCACTATGTTTTTCTAGGAGTGTGTCTGTGAATTAGGGTTCTGCTGTTTCCTACAATGCTTTTGGCTGACCTTCAAGTTTATACTAAAAGGAAACGCTGTTCAAATGCTAAATCACGTCTTTAGAGATGCCCTATTAGATAGAATCCACATTGTTAACTGACGATGCTACTACTACTCCGATTGAGTTAATTAATTACATTGTTAACAAGACGTAACAATTAAAAGTTTGAACAACGGCCAAGGATTACTTCCATTTAAATAAGGATTAACTAAAGTCTCATTATCATTTCTGTTTAAATTACATTGACATGGAACTTATTAGCCCTCAAATTACGTTAGTGTCAAATCAAACGAAATTAGATAGCGTTAGTAATAAAACTAGTGATAGTAATAAAACTAAAGCACACTAAGACTTTTATATTGAATATCTTATTGATAATCTGGATAAAATCTTTGAGTAGCTTTAAAACTCGAAAAAGAAGAGTTTTCAATGATAGTCTCGGTTTATTTAAATTCTCCGAATGCTATTAGAGAATACCTTTAAATTTCTTCAGGGAAATGAACACTACCTACATTTAGAATTAAATAACCATGTAATCTTAAATAAAGAATTCGTTTTACTAAAATGTAAAGTAATGGAAAACTTTATTACAAATCGGAACAAATCAGGGCAAATTGATATTTATCGAATATCAAAGATAGAAATATAAAAAGTATAAAGATTTCCTAAAATTTATTTGTACATACATTGAGCAATCTACACTTAATTTTTGTTTTACATATATATATAATTTATACTAATAATATAAGAGTAAATGAAATATAAATTAGGGAAATTATATTTAAGGGATCTTACCGTAGAATGTAGAGATTTATTATCTATCCTTTAACTTAAGATAGATGAAAAACAACAATCAAAACATTTATGCCATCAAATTTCTTACTCATACTAAACTCAAGATATCTTGTTAGCAAGAGTGCCGTTTCTTTGAATTGTTATATTTAGAAGCCGGAATACAACATAGTAAATATAAACAAAGGATCATCTTGACGCCGGAATTCAACATAGTGAATATAAACGATCAAATTAAATGGCATGCCATGAAATTTTTAGTAATTTCAGACATTAAAAGATAAATGTTCCTCGTAGCTCACTCCTCATACGGGCGAATCAAAGTACTTGGACACATTACATTTTATTTTGAGTTACGTAAAACATCTCCACAAATACAGATTAAAACTAAAAGACCAGACGATCATATTGTAGACCACATACAATATACGTTATACACGTTATACGTTATAACGTATATGTAGTGTGGTTATATACGTTATATACGTTATCCAGTACATATGCACTCGTTAATGGTTTATGGTAGCTGCACAATGACTCGGTGCCGCAGTTTTTGCAGATGGCTACAGCGCCTGGGTTCGTGGGTTCGATATCCATACGGGCAATGATTATAGTGTTTGTTTTTCAAGGAGTTTTGTCATCAGATAGGCAGCCAATCGTAAAAAACAGATACATAGTGTTAGTAGATAATAACAGATACGAACAGATACGAACAGGTACGATAAAAACAGATACGTAGTAAAACCGTTTAACCGACCCCTCCTAGGTGTAGTAAGGCAGGAGAATCATGAGATTAACGATGCAAGCGCAAGTTCAAGAGAGAAAGATGCTGCCTTTGATGAAGATTCTAGCAATATAAAAGTGGATTACAATGCCAACTTTTTCCAAATTTGTTATTCATTTTATCATTCATAATTTAAAAGTACTATGTAAAATTAAATTAAAGTTTCTTTTTGTACTATTTTCTACGTTTCTAGGCATAACCTTTTAAAATATAAGTAGCAGGATTTGTGAGAAAGGATTTCTCTCGTAACACATTTTTTGATTGTGTTATTATTGGTTGTCTAAATTCAGACTTTTCTGATTGTTTAATTTTTACAAACACACACACTAATCTACGGAGTGTTGATACATAAACCACATTTCATGTCTTAATGTTAAATAGATGTGGGGTTCAAAAGTGGCTCTTCGTATAACAAACAAAATAACGCGCTTGCATCGCCAGTATCTTTTTATTGGCTTCACACGCTACCACGTGTCTAGATTTAACTAAACTCACTTGCATTATATACAGCTGTTGGTTTCTGTTTCAAATTGCACACATAATAAGCGTATAGCCAAATGAAATCATTTCGAAAATAATCACCGTAACGTCAGCAGTTGATATCAGGAGCTTACTGTTGCGGCTCGCGCCGCGCGCATGCTGTTGCCGCCAGTCTACGCGTAGACGCCGCTCCCGCCTGACCGCTACGGCGCCGCGCTGCTACGTAACCACTACGTAGCCGACTAAAATGACACAAATAAATTTGTAGTTCACGTGTTGTTTTAATTCCACGTAGAATATTATTCGCGATCCGGATGGAGGTGTAAGCTGGTATTTATAGTGACATCGCACAGATTTTAAATAATATTATAAAAAATAAATTATAATGCTCAGAAGTTTGAGTGTGGTGGTGAAAACATCTATATTTCTTCTTACGCTTCAAGGTAAATGTGTTAATATATGCCATGATTACCTCCAAACAATTTTTTTAGTGTAAAATCAAATGAAGTGTATCTTTACATTTTAATAGTGCCTTAATTTGTTTGTAAATGTATTTGTTTATGATCGAGCTTATTAAAAAAAAGACATCGAAGGACTTAAAAAAAATTGAATAAATATTGGAGAAATAGCCTCAATAAAACTCGATTGTTCGTTTCGTATACAAATTCGATTTCAAAGAGAAACTTATGTTGTATACTTTGTGTTAAAAAGTTTTATGACGTGAATCTATAACTAAAACAAAACCGAAGAAATACACCGAGAGAAATGTTTTGATAAAATATGGAAAATGAGCCCTTAGGTTGTTCCCACAATCTTTATTGAAACGATCTTTTTTCATTTATCTTTTATATTTCTTTCTTATTATTTATGTCTTTAAATTTTAATTTTCATCAAAATCCTTTTGCTAACACTAGTTATGTATCGTTGTTGAATTAATTTAAATTTTGACTGATGTTCCAAATATGCCTGTAGGTCTAGTAGTTAGAGTACTACCAGGGTTAACATTCTAGACTTATTTTCATTATAACGAAAATAAGTTATGATGTTTGTACAATAGGTTACAATAAAAAAGTTGAATAACTGACAACTTATTTATCCATCTTTTACTAGCATGACGTCATGTAAATCAAAAGTGCAAATTGCAAAATATGAAGGCACGCATAATTAAACCAATTTCGTTTACAAAAATCTGGTAATCTAACGAGAATTTAAAAGTAACTTACTAACAGTTGTATGTTCATCAGTAATATTTAACGTTGCAAGTAAATTATCCACGTATAATATAATCGCTACATACTAGGTCTCAGTGCTACCATGTATTCTTATTATATATACTGGATTGAATTGAACAGCGAATTTGTCACATTAAATCATATCGGAAATAAATACTTAATGAGTTAAATAAATACATATTACAATTCAATAGTTAATAATTATTAAATATTTTAGTGTATAAAGTCTCCTCTTTCAAATATTAGGATTATGATAATAGGGAAACAGTAATATATAAACAATAATATATATATATATATATATATATCGTAAACGGATAAACATTAAAATATGAAAATGGTTTTTAAGATAATATTAATTTAAGCGTCATTTTTATAACAACTGTTACTCGAAACCATGGCATTCATGAAAGTTTAATTTCCGTCACAGGGTTCTTTTATCAAAATTTCTCTAATTAAATATCTCTTCAGTTCTCTATTAACTGATTCGCTGGTTTCGCTTTGAGAATATATGTATGGTCTAAATGTGCAAGTCAGACATAGCTTAGTGCTGTTCTGTGACCGTTTGTAACAAATATGGGGAACAAATTTACTACATAAAATTTAAAATAAAATCTTTATGTATACCTAGGTCGTGTTTTTAGGATTTTGTCATACAACTTAGCCCTAAGATTTTAAGGCTGATAAACAAATTCCCTGTTTTCCCGCTTTCGCTTGTACATTAAAGATGATCATAATCATCATATAACAAACGTCCGGGATTATACTCTAGATCTATCGTTACTCGTACATTTTCTAGGATAAAAAGTAGACTATGCAAAAGTGGACTGATCCACTCACTATTTTATAAGTGTTGTATAAATACAAGTTATCTAAAACGGGAGCTCAACAATCAAATCAGTTCAAAGGACATTGTCATCATTGGATAATTATTGTTATTACACTTCCACACGAAACACGTCCATTTTAGTCTCTCATGACTCAGTCTAAAAGTAAGTGTGACCTTACATATAAGATACCTGTTTGGAAGTTTTTGCTTAAATTTAATTGATTAAACAATAAAAGTAAACAGCCGGAATTGTGGCACGTATATTACACTTTTGAACGAAACCACTGACCACGTTACAAAGACTGACGAATGCATGTCTAAACGGCCCACAGATTTTTTTTATAAGTAGAAATTTCTCAGAAGGTTTTTCATTTGCATTTTAAGATTTTATAGTTATCACTCCAAATACTTCGTAGTCGCTACATATTTCTTAATGTATAATCTAATAGAGTGAAATAATATATAGACCTCTAATTATTCCTTTAAGTGCAACATCAGTGTTAAGTATTATTCAATACTAGCTGCTGCCCGCGACTACGTCTGCGTAGAATAGGCTGAAGGCGTCATATTAAGTCAGAAAGACAGATATACATAAAATATGTATATAAATTACAGCCTATGTCTTATTCTGATGTATTAGCTATATTATTGTAAAGTTTCCTTTAAATCCATTCAGTAGGATTTTCGTGAAAGAGTGACAAACATCCATCCATACATACATAGTATCCATACATTAGTAAATATTAAGTAGATTTTAGACATGTCACATTCAATATTTGTAAAGCTCTAAACTCAGGCATAATAATATTTTAAGACACATTTTTACACAACGTTCTTTAGTCGCAAAGTAAGCAACGCTTGTAGTATGGGTAACAGATAAACATACTCAAACATACTTTTTTTTGTAAATAAATACATATTATACATATGTACATACTCACACACTAGAAAAAACACTATGATCATCACACAATATTTTAACAGTTGTGGGGCTCGAACCCACACTCTCTGACGCAGGAGGCAGGTACACTACCCACCACGCCATTCGGGTCGCCAATTAATTATTTTTAGCAATAAATTATTCAATACATTACAGAAAATAAAAAATAGGCTCCTTCGTTTCAATGCTAACGCACACAAACCGTCAGTTTACACGAAAAATGGCGTGAGACTTGATGCAACCTAAACATAGTGGTGAGACCATCTTTTACGAGGTCCTAATGGATACTTATTGTTAAAAATTCTCAATAAATTCAAAATATACTTACGTAAGATCGCAAGGCTTACAACCCAAATACTGGAATATTATTTCCTTAATAAGGTGTATAAAATATATAATTACTTTTAAAGATATATGACTTCATTTCTCTTGTACTACGTATCGTCTAGTTTTGGCAACTATCAAAAACTTCATCTCATTATGTTCTAGAACGCAATGTTGCATAACATTTGTGATAAATTCCAAGTTAGGATGCCTTAAAGTTACGGAGTTATCCCGTCGCCGGGGCAATGTAATGAAATTCCACTTAAGTATGTGAGCATATTTTAAAAATTTATGATAAAAGTACATTTTTGAAGTTGCCGTACCGAAGGCCTAATCTAAATTAGTCTGTCTAATTATATTTACAACTAAATGCCCTCGGAGTAATGGAGAGTATTTACTATTCTTTTAACTACCTCGGAGGCTTGTACAAATATAATTTCGATATCTTTAAGGATATCTTTACTGCCCATCGTTAAGTCCTTGAAGTATTCGTGTGTTGATTTCTATTCATGAAGGTATTTCAAATCAAAATCAAAATCAAAATATATTTATTCAAATAGACGCTTGCGCGCTCTTATGAATCGTCAAATTTTACATCAAAGATTATGTGTATAGGTTCGTAATGTACCACCGGTTCGGGAAGCGGTTTCTGTTGAGAAGAGACCGGCAAGAAACTCAACAGTTGCTCTTTTTCAAAAATATCAGGGTACAATATAATATACAGGTATAATAGTCTTATTCTAGCCTACGTGAGTATCAACAGTATTAACTCCACACATTGGCGTCGTCGAGATATTCCGAAATGGTATAATATGCTTTAATCATCAGTTGATTTTTAATTTTACATTTAAATTGGTCAAGCGGCAGACTTAATATCGACTGTGGGATTTTATTATACATGCGCACACTTTGCCCCATGAACGACTTATTTACTTTTTGTAGACGAAACAATGCCGTAGTAAGTTTGTCCTTATTTCTAGTGTTTATTTTATGTCTGTCACTATACTTTAGGTAATAATTAAGGTTATGACGTATATACAGAACATTACAATAAATGTATTGAGAAGCAACAGTGAGTGTATTAACCTCTTTGAAAAGATCTCTGAGTGAATTCCGGGCTCCGATATTGTAGATTGCTCGGACAGCTCTTTTTTGAAGAATAAATATAGAATTTATATCTGATGCACTACCCCACAACAAAATGCCGTACGACAAGATGCTGTGAAAATAACTAAAGTAAACAAGTCTGGCAGTCCTTGTGGGACTCCCATTTTCATCTGGGACCCAGCGGAATTAACATCATTTATAGATACTTTTTGAATTCTATTACTAAGGTAAGAGGCAATGAGATTGAGGGCGATGCCATGAATGCCATAATATTCTAGCTTTTGAAGGAGAGTTTTATGGTCTAGGCAGTCGAAGGCTTTTGAAAGGTCACAAAAGACACCTATTGCATCTTGTGACCTTTCCCAGACGTTATAAATATGTTTGATCAGTGCGACGCCCGCATCTGTTGTCGATCTGCCTTTAGTGAATCCATATTGCTCATCTTGAAAGATTTTGTTCACATTAAAATGAACTAAAAGTTGATTTAATATTAGCTTTTCAAAAACTTTACTAAGAGATGGCAATATGGAAATAGGTCTATAATTGCCTGGATCATTTTTATCACCACTTTTGTAGACAATTTTGCCTATATTACCTCGATTTATGTCTTTACAGCGATAAAGAACGGAAAATACTTACCAAAATGAATATTTGAAACAGTTCTAATAGTTACATTATGTTGAATTAACTTAGTTTCCAGAATAATAAATTACCTCCTCGAGCATATGATCATATTTATCAAAATTTACAAAAAAACAGTGAAATTAAAAAAAAAACAGCGTCTTGAATGGGATATGGAAATTTTAATTCCTATTCCTAAACCCAATCTATGGCTTAGTACCTACCATAAAAGTTGCACGCTCCAGTTGGAAACATATATTACTACTGTAGCTTTATAGCAGAACATATTCACACCTTAGTAAAAGAAAACTGTTACAGTTTAATATAAAAAGAAATGCAACTACTCTTTTTTCGTAAAAGTAGGTAATTGAAACAGTTGTTGTAATTACA